TTTCTCTGACTCTCTCCTGACGGTCACATGATGATATCAACAATGGTGTGACTACTGATATCTTTAGAGGAAACATAATATTACACATTGCTGCCATAATTCAATACGGGTTTTAAAAAAGGGTATAGATAACTGTTTAGGTGTTAGCTCGGCAGCAGGTGCATGTGACTCCCTGAAAGAGTTCACTCCACAGTAAATGGGCACAGCAAGCAATGATTTCTTCAGGTGAAAACACACGTGCAGCTTAACAAAAATGAGCAAAACAAAAAAAACATGAAACTAAACCTTTTTGGCAACTTACTGCACACACTGTTTCAATCACTAACAACTAGGTGCAACCTTGTGCTTTCCCTAGCACCTATCTCCCTATTCAATAAACTGCCACACAGGCTGTGTCTCACCACACGAGTTTGTTTTTTCTTTGTCACTGCAGTCTACTCAGGCACAAAACTGGTTCCAGGGGGGAGCAAATCTCTAAGCAGTCTGGGAGTTCTTATAGAGGCCTAATGAGCCAGTTTACTTCAACTGGGCTCATTACCTCTACCATTCCAGCACTCCCTCTAGTGCACCGGTTCTCAACCTGGGGGTCGTGACCCCGTCGGGGGTCAAATGACGATTTGCCAGGGGTCGCCTAGCGGCTCCCGGCCACCCAGGAGAGAAACGCTTTCTCCTGGAAAGGTTTACGCTGCTCGATCCTTTCTCTGCTCTTTTTTTTTTCCTGACATCGGGCCCGCCGTCAGTCAGAAAAAAAACCACCATAGGAATGCATAACTAGATTCCTATTGGCTATTTCACTTTGCAATAGCAAGCTAGCTATTGCACCCGCCCACTGCTGCTGTCAATCAGCAGAGGGGGACCTGCAGTTCTCCATCAGGTCCCCTTCTGGTGATTGACAGCAGCAGAGGGCGGGTGCAATAGCTAGTTTGCTATTGACTAAGCAAATAGCCAATGAAATAGCGAAATAGCCAATAGGAATCTAGCTATGCATTCCTATGGTGTTTTAAAAAAAAAATTATTCTGACTGACTGCGGACCCGATGTCAGAAAAAAAAACAGAGCAGAGAAAGGTTTACTCTGCTCCATCGAGCAGAGTTACCTTTCCAGGAGAAAGTTTTTTTTTCTGACTGACAGGGTTAGACGTAAACCTGCTGCTCCGTGTGCACAGTGAGAGGGGATAGCAGTCTTCCCCTCTCACCTGTCACAGGAGTTCCAGCACAGTGCTGTGCTAGGACTCCTGTATTGGAGGTGACAGGGTCAATAAAGAGAACCTGTCACCTCCAATTGCTATTACACAGGGGCTTGTTAGCTCCTGTGTGATAGCAATAAAGTTAAGTGGGAAAAAATAGAATAAAAAATTATAAAGAAATAAAAATAAAAAAAATTAAATAAAAAAAATAAAAAGGTGATTAAAAAGTAATAAATAAAAACAAACAAATTATTAAAAAATAAGAAAATGATAAAAATAAACAATAATAAGATAACAAAATTCTTAAAAATAAAAAAGTAAACGATACGATAAATAAAAATTTTAATAAGTGGGAAAAAATAGAATAAAAAATTATAAAGAAATAAAAATAAAAAAAATTAAATAAAAAAAATAAAAAGGTGATTAAAAAGTAATAAATAAAAACAAACAAATTATTAAAAAATAAGAAAATGATAAAAATAAACAATAATAAGATAACAAAATTCTTAAAAATAAAAAAGGAAACGATAAGATAAATACAATTTTTAGAAAGTAAAAAAAAAAAGTGATAAAAAAATAATAATAAAGAAACAATAAAAAAAAAAAAACTAACCCTGCCATCTGGTTGCCATTCTCCATTGATGGGGGGTTAGCGGGGAGGGGGGCACATTGCAGAACCTGGCCTTGGAGGAAAAGGGGGAGTAAATCCGGCCCTGGGCGTTCATAACACGGTTATATCCACAGTGCAGCTACCAAAAAGATTGTGCTTTCTACTCTACGCAGGTAATGTCAGGAGTCTGCTGTTGTTGTTCTAGGAAGGGTATTTCAGCTTTAAAAAGCTAGTAGAACAGTGGTTCTCAAGCTGTGGGTCGCTGTGTGATTTCTGCTGTGCTAGGTGAGAGAGTCCTCCTCAGCAGTCTCCTAGCGCAGCAGTGTCAGTTCTCCCGCCAGATGTCGCTGCAGCAGCCGCGCCATCCCTAAATTTTAACATTGGGGCTCACCACAACTTGGCAAATGTTACCAAGGGGTCCCGAGCCCTAGAAAGGTTGAGAACCACTGCTCTAGTAAAAGAAGTATGTATACAACCTGAACCTGTAAGGGGGTGAAGGAAAGATCATTCACTGGCACAGGAGAGATGAGGACAAAGGACTTTCCGTTCACAAGGGAATCACTGCCCTCCGTTCACTGAAACATTGCAATGTGTGCCTGTATACTCACAGAAACCCACTTAACACTGAATTGCACATGAACAGATTTGTCTGCAAAGATAATTTGTGTCAGGAACCCCTGCATTGGTGAACCCTTTTCAACGTTAGGAAAGTTAGACAATAGAGCTTGATCCTCAGCCTGTTCTAATCTGTGCTTGAACAGTAAAGGAGAAGCAGGACACGTCTGAGGTCATCATCCTTTCTTCCTGTAAGTATGTTTAAACTGTAGCCTGATAGCACTTTGCAAAGCAATAGAGCTTTGTTAAGCTCTCCCTTCTTTTACCAGTCTGAGTTGTGTTGTGCACCAGATTACAGAAGGCTAATATCAAAATAGATTTATTTGGTAGTTTTGCTAGTTGTAAATAAAAATGCATTCAAAGACGTTGTGTAGATAGCTGTATTGTTCTTGCAGTAGTAATTTGTCTTCCTTGATTTATATAACTTTGACAAATGTTGTGTTACACTACAGAGTACATAGCAACAACTACTGCTGATGAGGTGTACAGTCTAATGTCCCTCTCTTAATCTAACATGCCTTGGAATGGTGTTGAAAACCACAGCACCTGGAGGAAAATTCACCCAAATACCAGTTATGATTACTGTGAATGTTATATAGTGTATGATAGATTACTAACATTATGACAATGATAGCTGTTTCTTTCAGTCTTACATTATACAGTAAAATAATATATAACTATTTTGCAACAGGACAATATTAAGCATCTGAGCCTATAGATATCTATATATGTGAGCTATATAGCAAGTCTTACAGGTTTATTCACAAAAGGGTGAAGAGTTTGGAGAAGGCCGGAGAAGTGAACAATCTAGGACAACATAGCTGATTTGGAAAAATTCTCCAATTCCAGTTTATCTATGTTGTCCTAGATTGTTCACTTCTCCTGCCTTCACCAAACTCTTCACCCTCTGTTAGTTTTATGGCTAACAATGCTGAACTGTATGTGTGCAGACATACATTTAATGTTCACAATATGGTGTATACTTAAAGTGTCACATTAAAAAAAAAACAATGTGAGTCACACAAAAAAAATAAAGAATGTTAAAGTCCCCTGACCCCACATACGAGCGCAAACACACGGGTGCGCTTACGTGCGGAAACTTCGATTCCGCCCATTACACCGCACATGTTAAATATCATTGCGATTGTCAGAGCATGAGCAATAATTCTAGGTTGGTCATTCACTGTTGACACTAAACTGCTAAGCGATAAAAACTTTTAAAGCGTCGCCTGTGGCCAATTTTGGGTGTGGTAATTTTTTTGCAATTTTGGGGCATGCCCAATTTTAAGGCTTGGCATGTTTGGTGCTTACCGACAAAGAATTGGGTAATAATAAATGTTTCATAACATAAGGGAAAACAGTTTTTTGTTTCAAAATTGTCAGTACTTGTTTTGTTATATAGTAACAAATAAAAACCCCAGTGGTGATTAAATGCCACCAAAAGAAATCTATCTGTCCCCAAAAAATTGTATAAAATTAATTTCAGTACAGTGTTACATGACGGAATCAATGACAGTCAAAGTACCGCAGCGCTGATTTACTGAAAAATGGCCTGGACAGGAAGGTGGTATATACACCCCGATCTTTAAGTGGTTAAGTACTGATGCTGGGTAGAAAGCAGCAATAAAACTTTGTTGCAGACGTGACCGCCCTTCAGAATCAGGGAGCTGGAGTGAGAACAGCATAAAAACAACCAACAAACTGAACTTTTTATAGTAGTCGTATGCAAAATGGACAATATTTTACTGGTATAGGTGGTACAGGAGCTGGGGCCTAAAGTCTTGGTATAGGAGCTGGGGCCTATAGTCTAGGTATAGGAGCTGGGGCCTAAAGTCTTGGTACAGGAGCTGGGGCCTAAAGTCTTGGTACAGGAGCTGGGGCCTAAAGTCTTGGTACAGGAGCTTGGGCCTAAAGTCTTGGTATAGGAACTGGGGTCCAAAGTCTTGGTATAGGAGCTGGGGCCTAAAGTCTAGGTATAGGAGCTGGGGCCCAAAGTCTTGGTATGGGAGCTGGGGCCCAAAGTCTTGCTATAGGAGCTGGGGCCCAAAGTCTTGGTATAGGAGCTGGGGCCCAAAGTCTTGCTATAAAAGCTGGGGCAGAAAGTCTTGGTATAGGAGCTAGGGCCCAAAGTCTATCTATAGCCAAAACTTTTATTTTATATACAGCAAAAATATTCAATACCTGTTTTAGGTTTTAGTTACTGTCACTTCTGGGTATATTCACCCTATTTGTCCAGGTAATTTGTCCCTTGTCATTGGGACAGAAAGCAGTGGGAATCTCACAATTTTGTAGTTGACAGCAGAACTAGTCTAAGAGGGGTTTTCTGTTGTGTAAGTGGTACAGGCTGTGAGTGGGAATATTCCCAGCAGAGACACAGCCAAAAAAAGAAAGGGTTTTTTACCATTATCTGCTTTGTTAAAAAACTAATAAAAATGTTTTAGCCATAGATACTCTTTGCAATGTACTTTTGATCCTTCATAATTAAAAAAAACAAAGAAGACTGTCTCCCTATTTGACTCATTTGCAGCATTTAAGATTCTTACAAGTGCTAATTGTGTTTTTTGTTTTTTTTTGTTGTTATTTTTTTTTTAGAACTAAGCTCTGAAAACCTCCGAATTTGCTTTAAGATCATAAACGCTTACATTTTCTTCATGTCCACGGAGTTCCTGCAGGTACGCTTTATGTATGCTTGTGTGCTTGCTCTATGTGCATCATAGTTTTTCTATGAGTTACTATAACAGTTTTATTAAAGGCTCATTTTGATATGGAAAAAAAACTAAAAGTGCATTAACTTAAAATGACACCTGACCGCGGCAGAATATAATAGAGGGCACAGGTGAATATTGAAAACGGGACTTCCATATAGTTTTCAAATTATTTTCGAAGCACACATCACTCCTCACTGTTTTACTGTGATTGATGACTGCTTGTTTTGTTTCAATTGACATGTGTACATTGCTGTGTGTTTGGCAGAAGGGGCAATGTAAAATGGGGAATTATTATACAGGATATTGCTCATGAATTGAAAATTATTCTTAAGTGTCTGTTTCCCAATAGCCAACACAAGACTCACCATGTGAAACCATGTTTAATGCTATCATCAGTATACCATTTTGCACTTTGCTGTGGGAGACCATTACAGGAAAACATATTGAAGTATAAAATGGATGACAAGTAATAAATGAGAATTCTAGGGTGCTGAGTGCTGTAAAGTGAATCTGAAATGCTGACAGTTTGCCACTTTTTTTTTGCTTGCATTGAACTTCACTTATAAACTATACATTATTTGTTCTTGTTGTTAGGTTTTCTTTTTAAAAACATCACATTTTACACTATTTCAAAATGACATGTCTGACATCTGCAAAGCTCTGTGTCACAGATCAGCTGCAGAGCTGATCTTTGCTTCATTGGTTTTCATTTTATAGGCTGGCACCTATAGTTCCACAAGCATGTACTCTGCTCTTACTGCACCGATTTAGCAGCTATGGGTTTCACTTGCTTCACCCGATGGTTAATATGCCTTCCTTCCTGCTACTTCCTGTCCTACTTCCTATCTCTCTCCCTATTTAAATCCTGCTCATACCTGCTTGGGTTGCTTGAGCAACACACCGAACCCCATTCGTGCTTTGTCCCTTACCTGATTTTCTGTGGACTGTGGATTTTCTCGTGTACCAACTCAGCTTAGTTCTGATTACGGTTGTCTGCTGGCCGCCCTGACCTTTGGCTCGTTTGTCGGCTCTCCTTTTGTTCTGCCACCATTCCGTCTTTGCCAGCGCTGTCTCCTGGGTGTACGGGTTAACTCAGGGGTCGCGACCTGGGGTCAGCACTCGGCTAAGTCCAAACTTCCGTGAGGGGGGTCCCTGACAGAACACCGCCTGGCCCTTGGACCCCACACTCTGGGGGATCCCATGCCACCTGCCCATCTGTGGGCTATCATCTTTAGTACCGTGACACTCATCCCATCAGACTTTTCTGCCACTGGTGGCACATTGCCAGCAGTAGAATTACCCAGGAGAGGTAACAACGTTCCCTAATGGTCAATATACCCTCACTGGCTGAAGAATTTTATACACTAGTAAGGGAGCAGCATCACTGGTCACCAGTTTCTCTAGGGAGAAAGTGACTCCATTTAACTCAAAGTACTGTAAGTGATAAGAGATGCACTGTGTATTGAGCACAGGTAGAAATCAATTAGCTACTTAGAGATTGTTACTAACTGTTGGTCTGAGAGTGACAATACCAGCAGCAGTTCAAACTGTTCAAGACTTCCCAACTTCCTTAATATGTAACAAATGTAATATCTATGTAGTCCTCAGTCACCCCTCTTTTCTGTTGCATGGGACTAGGCTGGGATGCGTCTTATCCCTGACATTATTTCCTTTTGAGCCATTGAGACTGATATACTAAAGGATTTGAGAACGTTCACACAATAAATTGAATGTGAATATTATGTGAATGTTTGCTTCAGTTACCTAATCATGTGCAGATGAAAAAAGTAACCAGGTATTTTCTTTTCACTTGATTGGATAATTAAAGTGAATCCTCCCCCTTATTATTATGTTAAAATTCTTAAATCCTATAGTAAGACAGCCTCATGATCTTTTGCAGCATAATTGGGACAACACCTGCTTTATATTTGTTACATTTTCCCATTCACTTTGCATAATTGAAAAAAATATATTGAAAAATTGCAGCTTAACTTTGTACTTGGTCTTTTCTAAAAAAATTCAAAACTGAAGTTTTCTCATTCTTTGCTGGGGCTGGGAAGTTAATGTTTACCGTGATTAAATCTGTCTATACTGTTCTGGCAGAATGTATTATCTGTAAACTAGATTTGAACATTGTCTGTCCTAACAAAGGGTAAAAGATCTCAGGGCTTGCGTTCTGATTTGAATGCTAATGAGGGGATTCCAAGTCTGTCCCCACTTTGTCTCTCCACATACACTTCCAAACCGTTCAGAGTAGCTTGCAGTCCGCTGAAACCCCTGCTTCAAAAAAATAAATAGAATAGTCAAAAATTGATAGGGAGGACATAAACTAGCGTCCTCCCGTCACCCAAAGCTCAGTATATCGCGAGCTACAGCTCGCGGTATACTAAGACCGAGATCCACCCAGCTGCGTAACTGACAGCTGGCTCTGTCTATCTAGAGGCAGAGCCAGCTGTACCCTCCCCTGTCCGTTCCGCCAGTCAGCGCTGGAGGATCAGACAGGGGAGGGGGGAATCCCTGCATGGAGCCGTGAGTGAGTCACTGCTCTCTGCAGGGAGATGATCGAGAATTGAGCGATCGACGGTATGTGTTCACTTACTTCCCGATCTATTGAGCCGATGTGTGACAGTTTCATTGTCACAGGTCGGCTCGAACTATGAGGTTGAGTGAAAATCACTCATCTCATAGTTCCCCTTTAATAGAAAAAAAATAGTCAATTTCAGAATTTGTTGGTACAAATCTTTGGTTTTCCCAGTGAATTCTGGAGCATTGCATTCTGGGATGCTGGGATTGCAGATATTGTTGAAGGTTCTGCAGATATGTTAGAAGCCTGCTTCGTCTGTAACTGTGATTGTGTTTGATAAGTGTGGGTGTTGTCTGTTGATTTCTTTCTTTATTCTTTGTATTTGCCATTGTGGTCAATGGAAAAGTTAATCACCTTTAACAAATTGGAGTTGTTTTCTACAGGTATTAAAGTTCAGTAAAGTGTTTTTCTTTTCCAGATGTATGCAGCTGGTCTCTGCCAATCTTTTCTAGAGATTTTGAAGGACATAACTGTTGAAGGCCAAGTTCAAGTACTGAAGGTATGGACAAATTAAAACAAAGTAAATAAAATAGCTATACATTTTATTGTAATATAATGGTAATTGAAATTCAGATTTTGCTTTACCTGTACGGTTTTAAGTGCCATGGGGCAAAGATCAAAAGTCAAACCTCACTAACTTTGCTTCTCGTTTTGCTTGACAAACTTTTAGAGCTATTTGATTATCTGATTCTTGTAGAAAAACCAAGGAAACTGACCCAGAAATTGTATTTAAAATACTTTTACTATACAAAAATGCTATGTACACAAACTACAAAAAGAATACAGACATGCATTGCTACAATCATGCATACACGTGCATACACTATGTACCCTTTTGTAGCACATGCAATGGTTTTTTTCTATAAGAGGATAAACTTAAATGCCACTGTAACGAGCCCCTGCTCGCTCGGTTCCACTCTCCCGACACTCCTCAGATTTCAGACCGCAGCGTCTGATATTTCGGTTGTCCGATAATTCGGGATTCGAACTACAGCTATGTGCCATTTGTATCCAGTGGTGATAGCTCAGAACAAACACCAGGCAGGCTTGTATGTAAGTTCAAACAGGAATCTCCTTTATTGGATGCACACACACACTTTTATACACAACAGTTTGAACGCCCCGCCCAACCGACCACCTTCCTATTGGTCAATTGTAAAGTTCCCTCTAGTCCTCACTTAGGTCCTCCGGGCCATGCAAATGAGGACTTGAAACAGGGTAAGCAGGGATTGGTCCGATAGCTCGAATGGGAGGGCTGATATGTATAATGACACAGAGACGTCCCAGGAGATAAAGTATTCCAAGGACCATGACAGTCACTTAGATTGGAGTTGCTGGTTTACAAGATTTCATATTGAACAATTTGTGGCTATTAAACGTTCTCAGGAAAAAAGCTTCTACTTTCATTCTCTCTTGAACTGTGGCTAAAGCTGGCCATACACCTAGAGATTATCTGCAGATTTTCTGTGGTCAGATGAAAAAAGTGCAACAGATTCCCCCATCTACGCTGCACTGTGTGGATGGAGGAATCTTCCGCTTGGCCAAGCTACAGTATCTTGCTAGTCCTCCCCACTGGCTATCAAAATACCTGAACAATCTGATTGGATGCAAGAATTATTTAGGTGTTTTGAGAGCCAGCTGGGTCGACTAGCAAGATACTAAATCTTGACCCAATGGGAGATTCCTCCATCCACACAGTGCAGCGTAGATGGAGGAATCTGTTACACTTTTTTCCATCTGACCACAGGAAATTTGCAGATAATCTATAGGTGTATGGCCAGGTTTAGTGTCCTCATCTGGTCAATGTTCTCTGTGGTGTCCTATTGTTTTCTGGGCTACTGGCTTTTATTTAGACAAATTGGTATCCGACCCGTGGGCATCTTCCTTAATCTTAATTCCCTAAACTCCATCAGATTTCTCTGTCAGGTATTATATTGTTGTATATGAAGAATGTTTTTCTTTTCATTTGTTTTTATTATGTTTTGTCATGCTGTAATTATACCTGCCCAGGTGGCCTTTCAAGCTGTGAGGTTTATTTGTGTTTTAATTATTGATTCAAGGCTGTAGAATTGATTTACACATAAAATAGAAAACTCAATTAAAAGATCAGAAGAAAAATAAATAAACCTTCTTTGGTTTGTTTCCCCACAGTCCAAGACAATTGGATAATTGACTTCAAATGACTGTGGAGCACACATAACATGGAGAGCATCTTCAGGAGGGTTTTATGTAAATGTTTCTGTGTAAGCTGAACAATATGCTGGCATTGTATATGACTAATAGGCAGGGCTTGAAAAATCCACTCGCCCTCTCGTCTGTGACAAGAGGACACCAGAGTTGGACGAGTAGATTTCCGGCCGGAAACTTTACATTCAAGCGATCAGGCATCTCTAGAGACACCCGGTTGCTTGTATTAGCTGCAGGTTTACCATCCCCCGCCGCTGTCACTGCCATGGCCGGGACCGCCACAGCTGCTCTGTGACAGGAGATCAAAGGGAGTTGGTACACAACCTCCCTCTGATCTCCTCTCTCGTCCCCGAATGCAGGAAGTGATACATCACTTCCGCATTCTGCCGTCACTCTCCAGCTACAGAAGCTGGGGAGAATCTGGTGAAGCAGAACTCTGCTTCATCAGCTTTTCTGGGGTTCCCTAGGTGACAGGGGTCTTGCAGACCCCTGATGTCTTCATAAAGAGGACCTGTCATGTAAATTGGCTATCACAGCTTCTTAGCCCCCCATGTGATAGCAATAAAGTAAAGTGTAAAAAAAAACAACAGTCATACATTTGTATTTTTTTTAAAGTCCCCCGCCCCCACATACACACGCAAACATGCGTTGGGTGCGCTTACGTGCGAAAACTACGATTGCGCTGCACGTGTTACATATCACCGCGAACGTCGGAGTGAGTGCAATAATTTTAGGCCCATTAATCACTGATGACACTAAACTGTTGAGCAATAAAAGCATTTAAGGCATTGCCTTTGACCAATTTTCGGTGTGGTTGTTTTTTGCGATTTTGTGGGTGCGTGCAATTTTAAGGCTTGACATGTTTGGTATCTATTTACTTGACCTCATCTTTTATATTTTACCAAAAATATGGGTAAGAATACATGTTTTTTTTAACATAACGTAAGGAAAAAACATTTTTTTTGAAATTTACGGTACTTTTTCATTTTATAACTCCCCCAGTGGTGATTATATATCTCCAAAAGAAAGCTCTATGTGTCCCTAAGGCTATAGTCCAGTCATGCTGACTGGTGACATTTTTGACTGACTGGTGAGACACCCTAAAAATTTTCAAGCCCTGCTAATAGGGATGTTAGATGTTAGCAGGGCATCCCTACAATCTCTTTACATGTGTTTGCTCCTTCCTAAGTCTAGTTCAGGTGAGTTGAGCTGAGCTAGAAACAGATACATTTCAGTGAATGAACGGATGGGGAGGGGCACAGCTGGCTCTGAAATCCCATTATTTCCTATGGGTAGGGTTCACACCTGGGCGTATTACAGGCCGTATGAACGCGCTACAAAACGCCCTACACCCAAAGAAGTACAGGAGCTTCTTTGGGGCGTATTTGCCGCGCGTATCCATTGGGATACAGCCAGGTAGCCCTCGAAAACACGCGTCTGTCGAACGTTTTTTTTACCGCGAATCGCGGGAAAAAAGTGCGACACAAAGCACGCGACAAACGCTCATATTCGATACGCCTAGGTGTGAACCCAGCCTAAAGGCTTTTACCGCTCATCAGTTTAGTGTTAACAGTGAATGATGGCCCTCGAGATATTGCTCTTACTCCGATGCTTGCTGTGATATAAAAACTACAATATCCAAAATGCTTTATGGCCCGGTTCACACCTGGGCGTATTACAGGCCGTATGACAAACGCTCATATTCGATACGCCTAGGTGTGAACCCAGCCTAAAGGCTTTTACCGCTCATCAGTTTAGTGTTAACAGTGAATGATGGCCCTCGAGATATTGCTCTTACTCCGATGCTTGCTGTGATATAAAAACTACAATATCCAAAATGCTTTATGGCCCGGTTCACACCTGGGCGTTTTGTGGAGCGTTCTCACGCTTTGCAAAACGCTCAAACACTGAAATCCCATTATTTCCTATGGGTATGGTTCACACCTGGGCATATTACAGGCCGTATGACAAACGCTCATATTCGATACGCCTAGGTGTGACCCCAGCCTAAAGGCTTTTACCGCTCATCAGTTTAGTGTTAACAGTGAATGATGGCCCTCGAGATATTGCTCTTACTCCGACGCTTGCGGTGATATATAACCTGTGTGGTGAAATCGTTGTTTTTGCGTTTGTATGTATGTGGGAGCAGGGAACTTTACACAATGTTTATTTTTCAATTTTTTTTAAATATACCACATTCAATTTTTTCTCTTAACTCTATTGCTATCGGATAGGGGGCTTACAAGCTGATAGTAAAGAGGATGTGACAGGGCCTCTTTATGGAGACATCAGGGGTCTATTAATGTTACATATGGAGCCCTATGAAGCTGAGGAAGCCACAGAAGCTGGAGAAATGACACACTAAAACCAGAAGTGATGTAATGCACATTGCTTACGCTTTTATTGATTGGAGGGGAGATGAGAAGCTGGAAGTGTGCTGATCTCCTTCGGATCGAGGCACACAGACCCGCTGTGCCGGACAGCAAAGCCCGGGTTAGCCAGCAGTTGGGGGGGGGGGGGACGACCAAGGGCACACACTCAAAGAGCAGCTCTATAGCTAGCTGTAAAAAATGGTACCATTGCTGCAGCAGCCGTGACCTTGGTATAACCGCTTCAGGTTGCCACAGTTTATATTATTATTATACAGGATTTATATAGCACCAACAGTTTGCACAGCGCTTTACAATATAAAGGAGACATTACAATCACAATACAATTCAAGACAAGATGGTAAGGAGTGCCCTGCCCCTGAGGGCTTGCAATCTAACAGGGAGGGGGAAGTGATACCTGAGGAGGTAGCTGTGTGGGGATGAATTGTTTGACAACGTGATGTGGTTAGGTTTTGCCGCCCTGAAGTGGTTAAAGTTCTTTATTTTCATCAGAGCTTTGTCTCACCTGTTTACTTGTTTTCATCCCAAATTAAACCTCCTGTACTACCTGTGTATCACAAAGAATGCTCATATATTGCTAGTGAGAATTTGGCAGTGTAAAGAGAGACATATAAACACATGACGTTTCTTGTTCCTGCATGGTGTTGACAACTGTTATGTCCTTTACTTTAATTTTGATAAATACGAACCTTTAAAGATGGAATTGCAATGTAGGGACCATGGGTATTACACGAAGAAGGATGTTTCTATTTAGTAGGAGTAAATCTTTGTAAAGAACAGTACGGCTCTGCATTCTGATTGTGTTACACAATTAGAACATGGAGGTTGAAAATTATGTTTTTTTCCTTCTGTAAATCTTTGATCCATTCTAGGAGCAAATGTTGTATGAGCACATTTAACTTCATTGTGCCAGCATCTGGTC